TTTGTGCCAATCATGAACCAAGCCAGCCTAGAAGCTGCTAAATAAAGTCAAACAATATGGCTTGCATGGCAACAATGAGCAGTTTCAGCAGGTGGAGTGCTTAGTTACTACACTTGACTTGTGATTTCTAAAGTCTTCATGGAAACATGCATGACAAACAAAGCTGGGGCAGAAAGCAAGAATATTTCGTAGATCATTCCTGGTTGACACGAAAATTTGAAAGTGAAATCATTTTGGAGGTACAAGGCATCTTACCAAACGTCTGCAGCTTATATCATTATCATCATGAGCCAGGCTGCACCCACTGCAGGCCGCTTTCATAATCCACCAATCAATACGGTCTTGTGCTTTTTGTTTCCAAGTTATACCTGCGAACTTTTTAATCTCATCGGCCCAACTAGCTTTCTGTCTCCCCCTCGCACATTTGCCGTCACTGGGAGTCCAGTCCGTTTACCCTTCATGACCAGCAGTTATCCTGCCTACGTGCTACGTGCCCGGCCCATGTCCATTTCTTATTCTTGATTTCAGCTATGATATTCGTAACCACGGTTTGTTCCCTGACCCACTCTGCTCTCCTCTTGTCTCTTAAGGTTACACCTATCATTTTCTTTTCCATCGCTTGCTGTGTCGTCCTCAATTTAAGCTGAATCCTCTTTGTAAGCCTCCAGGTTTCTGCACCGTAGGGAATTACCGGCAAAATGAAGCTGGTATATACCTTCCTTTTGAGGGATAGTGGTAGATTACCATTCATGATTTGAGAATGCTGGCTGAATGTGATCTGCCGCATCCTTATTCTTCTAGGTTACAAAACCCCTACTAAGAGATGGCGCTTTAGTATAGCATGCAAGAGGTCGGTGGTTCGAACTCTGGTGCCAGACAATTCCCAACAGTATATTATACAACTATAACGCGGGATGAGGGAACCATTTTAAAAGGAGGTGGGGGGGGGGGGGGGGGTTCTGGAGTGCGGCTTCACTGGCGATCACATCTTGACAATGCACTCCCTTGCCGGAGCAGGATTGGCCACCTTGGCGCAGTACTTGGCCACCACCTCCCATGAAATTACCAATTAGATAATATTGTCACGTGCTTGTCAAAAAGAAAGACAATGGCAGTTGTGCGTGTGCCATGAAGTACAATGAAATGGATGAAAAAGAACTCTTTTGCGCGTTCTATTAAAATAACCGACCAGCTTCTGGTGTCTCAATGTCTGCGGCAGGACCTCTGTTTTGACGTCGTGACACTGGTGGAGGTGCTGGAGCCTACAACCTGATGCAGGACAGTCTTGCTCGGACCCGTTCACCTAATTCAGAGACTCGGCCCCTCGTCACGACTCCAGTGCACCGATTCAGTCGGCGCCTACTAGGCCTAAGTCCGGAGTCCGCACCTGTTCCGCCTCTTTCCAGCATGCTAGCTCCTACGACATCCACGCTGATACCGCCATCGCAAACCACTCTTTCCTCGCAGTGACTCTTGAACATCCTCGCGTTTCTGAAGTTTTTCGTGGGGAAGAGTACGAGGATGTCGAGGACTGGCTCGAACGGTTCGGACGGGTCCCTATATCCGACCATTGGAGCGAACAGCACAAACTTGGCCGTGCATATTTCACACTGGAAGATAGTGCTCGCACGTGGTATGAGAACCACGAGGCTACATTCCAATCTTGGGAAGATTTCCGTCGAAAGCTCCTCGCTATGTTCTTGAACTCGGACCGACAGGATCGCGCACAGCAACTGATTGAGGCCCGCGTGCAAATACCCGATGAAACAGCTGCCATGTACACAGAGGGTATGATCTGTTTGTTCTGACGATCTGACCCTGACATGCCCAAGGCAAAGAAAGTGCGTCACCTAATGCAGGGTGTTTAGGAACAAGTGTTTGCGGGCCTCGTACGAAATCCACCTACAACAGTAGATGAATTCATAAGAGAGGCGACTGTCATCAAGCGCGCACTGCAACAACGGTGCCGACATATTGACCGCCTGCCGAACTACACGGCAGTAAGTGCTGCAGCTCAGAACACTGTCGTATGCGAAAGTTCCCTGTGACAAATGATTAGTGAAATACTGCGTGTGGAACTTCGGGCTCTCTGCGTTCCCCCTACCCAACCGCCAGTCGCATCTGTTGCCGAAATCGTCCGCCAGGAGTTGAGGCAAGCCATTGCACCACCCGCGCCAAGTCCTGAGCCACATTCAGCGAGCTACGCTGATGTGGGCCGTCGCCCTCCACCGACATTCGTGGCGACGCCCTTCCAGCCACGACCCGCTGCCGTACCTTGGTGGCTACAGGATTCTACGGGACGACCACCAGTTCGCCGAACTGACTTATGGCGCATGGCCGACCGTCGACCTATTTGCTTCCGCTGCGGAGAACCCGGTCACATTGCCCGCTATTGCCGTCATGGCGATTCCGGGATTGGGAACTTTTCTCGTCCCGCTTCTTTCCGCTCTGAAGTCCGTCGTGCCCACGATGCCTGGCCAAGCAACCCCACCGCGTCACTGGCGATCTCCATCGCCTGCGCGTCACCGTGACTTCCCTCAGAGCTACGCGGACGACACCAGAGGCCGTTCACCTAGCCCGCGCCGGGGAAACTAACTGCTGCGACCTCGGGGGGCAAGGTTGCCAATCGTCCAGACACTGAAAAGTTCCCCCTATCATCGCAAGAAGGTATGACGACAACGACGACGAATACTAATGCCAATGAAGTTGTACGTGCCGATCTTAGCGTTCTCATTGACGGACATCACGTTACAACACTGGTCGACACTGGTCGACACTGGCGCCGACTTCTCAATCATGCGACAAGAGCTCGCCGACCGCCTTAGAAAGGTCAAGACACCGTGGACAGGGCCGCACATAAGGAGTGCTGGTGGTCAGCTGATGACTCCCACGGGTAAATGCACCACTCGACTTTGCATCGGAGATTCTAGCTTCGTGGCCACTTTCGTCCTTTTGCCAGACTGCTGTAAAGAGTTAATTTGGGGCATGGATTTTCTTCAAGATCATGGCGCTGTTATCAACATCCCTCAACGTATGGTGACGTTTTGCGCACATCCATATGCCGACCACAGCAGTGACGAACCACGCGGCCGTTTGCGAATAGCTGACGATGTGACACTCCCACCGAGATCCTGCTGCCTTGTGTCGGTGTCCAGTGGGTGGCCTTGCTATAAAGATGTGGTAACAGAGCACATGGTCGCTGTTTTGTTCATGCAATGCATTTCCATCGCGAGAGGCATCTGGGTGCTTACTGGTGGACAGACAGAAGTGCTTCTCACAAACTTCAGCAACGAGCGCTGAAGGAGGGTACCACAATTGCCTACTACGACGATGTAGACCTAGCCAGGGATTGTTTTGCTTTGCAACCAGACGACGCGACTGTCCCTGCCTCGACAACTTTACGGGTGTACATCTGCTCTACGCTGCTGCCCTCTAATAGGAAGCACCTGCTTGAACTTGTACACGATTCGAAGACTGCTTTTCGCGTACGTCAAAGGTCCAGCAAACACCATTGACCTAGCACCGCATCATTACTGAAGACAACACGCGACCGATTCGGCAGAACCCCTACCGTGTGGCTCCGAAAGAGCGCGAGGAAATTTAGAAGCAAGTACACAAGATGCTCGCGGATGACGTCATACAATCTTCGAAAAGTCCTTTGGCGTGCCCCGGGGTTCTGGTCAAGAAAAAAGACGGCAGCTTGCGCTTCTGTATTGATTATCGCAAGTTGAACCAAGTCACGAAGAAAGACGTCTATTCACTGCCCCGCATAAACGATTCACTCGATCAGCTGCATCATGCCCGCTATTTCTCTTCAATGGACCTTCGAAGCGGCTACTGGCAGATAGAAGTTGACGCGAGAGATCGTGAAAAAATGGCCTTCGTGACGCCCGATGGCCTGTACGAATAAAGGTGCTTCCTTTTGGGTTGTGCTTGGTGCCAGCCCTTTTTCAGCCTCTCATGGACACCGTACTATCAGGCCTGAAGTGGCAAACATGCTTGGTCTATCTGGACGATGTATTTGTATTCTCAGCAACATTCGAGGAACATCTCGACTGTTTATTCACCGTCCTCCAAGCCATACGTTCAGCCGGCCTTACTTTAAAACCGGAAAAATGTCATTTTGGTTTCAACAGCTTCCTAAACCACGTCGTCAGTCACGAGGGTGTTCGACATGACCCGGCCAAAATAGACGCCGTAGCGCAATTTCCTGCACCACGCGACAAAAACGCCGTGAGACGCTCCTTAGGGTTGTGCGTCTATTACCGGCAATTTATTCTTTTCGTCAAAAAGAAAGACAATGGCAGTTGTGCATGTGCCATGAAGTACAATGAAATGGATGAAAAAGAAGAACTCTTTTGCGCGTTCTATTAAAAGAACCGACCTGTTTCTGGTGTCTCAATCTCTGCGTCAAGACCTCTGTTTGACGTCGTGACAATATAACCTAGGACGTATTGGGTATCAGCTTTATGGTGCATACCATGAAACTGCATGTAAGACAATGTATATCTTGTAGCATCAACTTGATCGCCTTGTAAACAACTACCTATGTTATGAGTTTGTGTCAGCTGCCTTGTTCGTTGTGTTTCGTCTCTGCCATAGTAGTAAACACGATACCATGCATGGCTAGTTTGTTGCCGTTTGATGCAGTCATGAGGCCAGTTGTAGTTAGAAAAAAAAATTTAATGGAAAAGAAATAACAGCCCTTTCCCGCTTTTCAGTACTCCTTGGAGCCGGAACTGGAAAAAAGTACAAGAACGGAAGCTTTACTTCAAAGGTTGTGCCAAGCGTTCTTTTATGGTGCAGCCTTTACTAACTACACTTGTCTGAAGCCTTTAGCCGTCTGCGGTCTGAAACAAAGAAAACATCAATATAAAAAGTTGACTTGCACAGGTGGTGTAAAATATTGCAGCTCTTTGAAGCCTGCAGGGTGATATGAATAAATACATAAACCACCGTTTTTTGAGTGTCATAATTGAGAGAAGGATCACGGGGTGCAGTGGGCCTGCTGGACCAGCCCCTGGAGTTGTCTGGGTCTCGGCAGCGCAAGAAGGTCGAGCGGCTGGATGTCAGCTTCCGCACGGCGAGCCGTGAGCGGCCTCCGCCCGAGCAAGGCAAGGGCACTGCCCTGGGTGATTGCCCCCGCATCGAGCACAACATCAGTCGTGAGCGCTCGGAGGGCCTCAAGGGACTACACCGGCTGCTCTTTGGCCGCCCGGGAGCTGTGAGCACATCCTTCTCTCCCTCTTATCTTTTGGGACAGGCCTTAACAAGCCTTACAATTGTCAGAGCTCGGTTGAAATAAATAAGGTCTAAAGTAATGTAATTAACAGAAATAACCAAGGATTAATCACAATAATTGACTCTAAATTGCCAAAAACGCTTCAGAAACATGCAGCTGACTCGCTAAGCGAGTGAATTCCCTCCCCTTACCTTTTGCCAGTGCTGTGTTGCTAAAGGGGGGAACAACCTGAGAGAACTTGTCGCATACCACGTGTATCTAAACTGCCCAAAGCACAGCAGAAATGAGCACACTTGCTGCACACTGTGCTTGAGAATCTTCCTATCAAGTCTACTCCTGCTGGGGAAACCCTACAGGCTTTAGTCAAACATTTAAAGTCATTGTTGGCGTGGTAGACCGAGAACTGGGAACTTAAAACAGGGGAATTGCTGGCGACTGTGTTGTGCACTTCAAGCAGAACTTTTTGTTGGGCTAGTTGGTGCATGTTTTACAGAAGGAATGGGGCACAGACAAAACGAACACAAAAAGTGCAGCATTCTTCCATGTCACCTTTTGTGTTAGTCTATTTTGCGCCTTATTCCTTCCGTAAAACTATGCACTTCCTCGTAACTCTAAACAGTGAGGCTGCATTTGCATTTTCTAAGGTGCATTTTCAAAGGAGCAATGACAATAAATTTCCGTATTTCGCCGAATCCAGCACGTGCTCTGAATCGGTGCCATCGAGCGTGACATCGAGTGCTGCTAAGATCGCCAGACACAGCACTTCGTCTGCATCAAGGCCAATAGCGTGTATGGGTCGTCGACCCTTCATTTGCTGAGGCATTTACTAACTAAGGAAGAAATCGATGCGAATGCGAGACGTCAAGACGCCGTATGCACTGTACTCGAATCAGCGCCAGCGATGCAGAAAAAATTTGAACTGATGCAGCCGACTCTTGAAAGAGATGCTCTATGTCTGAAAAAAAAAAAAAAAATCTGAACAGGACCTAAAGAAAATGGAGGGAAGACAAAAGAGGAAAAGAGTGCACTAGGACACCAAGCTACTCTGCTAGAGCTTTTTGAGGAAAACACATGTGCTGAACTTTCAAAGCCCGTTTTCTCAAAATGGATTTTTTAGCTAAATGTAGTGCTGAGGAAAGCGATTTCTCATAGAGTGCTCATCAAATGTGTGTGCCGTTTCTTTTATTCCGCTCTTAGATGATTTTGCCAGGGTATAACAAGCTTCTTTTTTTGAAAATTGGTGCCATAAATTATTAATAAACAATTGATTTTTGATAAATGTCATAACTACTGGCTACATCAAATTCAAAGTTGCATAAAATGTTTTTTTTGGGGGGGAAATAGGGGAAAAAAAAACGGCGCTTTAGTTCTCTGGAATATCTATCCAGGGATGACCATAAATAATTTCAGCCTTCGGTATGTCCTGGGATTTCTTCCGGCTCTTCCTCAGGCACGCAAGTGAACCACCCAGTTAGACCTGAGTAACTCTAGAACACAATTTCATGAAGAATCCCTTGCTGGATTTCGTGCCGACCGGTTGTGCGCCCGTGCGCTTGCGATCTTCAGCGTCAGCGTAACTCTGGCCGACTGGGTTCGCCCTACGTCACCTCCTGCCGCCGCCGACCTTCGACGACAGTGTAGGTCTGACTTACTGGACTTGCCCTATGCCATCTACAGACGCCGACAAGAGCTCTCGCGAGTGTGCCCCGTCCTCGGACTCCAGTGACCGTGCTTCCATCTTTCCTGTCTCTCCTATCCCCTCAGTTTGTTGTTGCTTCTTCTTCCTCTTTTCTACACCTTTAGTCCTACCCTTTACCCCTCCTCACCCCCATCCCTTGTGAGCTACTGTCGCGGTGTCGCTCACTGAAGCAGACAATAACGGGGCTCACTTTTCTCCTCCTTTCTCTTTCTTAAGAATCACTCAGCAATTTCATGAAACTTTGCAGATTTTTTATTTATTTATTTATAGATACTGCGATCTGTTCCCAGATCTTAGCAAGGTGCTTATACATAAAAAATACAATTTAGCACACATAAATTGCAGGCTTTCATCAAACATTTTTAAGAAATCAAAAGGAGGAAAAAACAAAAACACTGGTAACAAGTGAATGAAATAACACAAAGAAATTCATAGCATATTCAGATGTCTTTCAAACATGGCTAAAGACTTCTGAGAAACTACATTGTTATTATGATTATTCCAGTCCGTTATTGTCCGGGGGAAAAAAAGAATACTCAGGTTATTCCTTGTGGTAAAGGGAACTATGATTAAAGCATGTCTTTGCCTTGTTTCATAACCCGTTGAGAAAGAAAAATAATGTGATGTGTTGATGTTATGACTATTTACGAGCTCATATAAAAATTTTAATCGGCAGACAAAGAAAAATAATGCGATGTGTTGATGTTATAATGACCATTTACGAGCTCATATAAAAATTTTAATCGGCAGACACTGTTGCGCTCCGTCACAGGAGGTAGTCCACTGTGTTTAACTAGCTCGCTCACAGATGCGCAGCCATAGGAATTAAAAATTTATCGAACTTCTTTATGCTGTACACGTTCAAGTTTTTTAACATTCATTGAAGTGAATGGGTCCCAGATAATCACTACATATTGCAACAACGGTCGAATGTATGAATTGTAGGTTAAGAAACAAACAGTAGGTGTGGATGACTTCAATGTGCATCTCAAGAAAAACAGCTTGCGCAAAGAACTAAAGACAATAGTATCAATGTGCTTATTTCAAGAAAGACTATTGGTGATCCACAGGCCCAAATATTTGTGCTGTGTTGCTTAATAGCGATACACCGTTCACACCATACAGTTGCCAACCGATTTTTCTGACCTGGCGGGGACCAAAAAGAAGTCCGAAAAATCAAACAGTCCGAAAAATTCGTGTTTGTCAGAAATATGAGCTTTATTGCATCAGGCAGGCTTAAAAAAGGCCATGATACTGTCTTGCATCATACTACTTAGAAGAGATTTGATTCGCCCGTATTTGCGCCAACGTGACATCGTCATTGTAAATGCTCGACAAAAGCGTCGCCGCGGTGGCGATCTCCGCTGCCCACAGCTGCGGGCAATCATTGTCGTCATCACTCGAACCACTCTCCGGCTGCAGCACAACCTGGTGAAGAATTTCTTCGTCTGTGGGCTCCGCGTACGGAATTGTTTTTGTCACCACGAGCGAAGTCTTAAATGTCATTGTGGCAGGCACATTCACTTCAACACTGCGCAGCTAAGCCTCCTCCCTGTACAGTGTGATGACAGCAGTTCTGACCACTGTGGCTGACCAAAGACGAAAAAGTGGTCCCGTGCCGCGTTTTGTAAAGCGGACACGGCCTCCACAATTTGAAATAGGACAGTTGCTTTCTAATCTCGAGGGCAAGAAAGCCATTTTAAAATTTAGCCACCAAGCTTAGTCAAGCCAGCAGAAAATCCAACGTGGCGGCATCCATACAGATTCGTGGCGCAGCTCAAAACAAGCGATTTAGTTCAAAAAATCCAACTTTCGGGGGCGAATTCGTCCGAAAAATTTGTCGAAAAAATGCATTAACCCTATGGGAACCTTGACGGTGCTCTTTTGAAGTCCGAAATATCTAACAAGTCCGAATTTTTGGAGTTCGAAAAATCGGTCGGTGACTGTATTTATAATGAAGAGGTCTTTTTTTGTTCGCAATTCTCATATAAATAGTTTTATCAAAATTAATTACCATTTGCCATTTTTCACACCATGCAATGACTTGCCAGGTCTTTATTTAGGCACACCTAATCATCAACTGAACAAACCTTAACATATAAAATGCAGTCATTTGCATTAAGTTTCATACAAACAGAAAGGTCTACCACAATGTCGTTAATAAATAATAAGAATAAAAGTGGTCCTGGAACTGACAGGAGACAACTTCAACACTTTCAGAAGAAACATTGTTTAAGGTGACGAATTGGCGTCGGTATATAGGTAGGCCGTAATCCAAGCAAGTATCTGATCGTTTTTTACGCGCACGGACATGAGCTATTTTGTCATGGTGCTGTCGACTGCCTGCCGCAGTAAAGAAGTTCCTCGCCTCACTAACTTGTGAAGCGGGTGTGGCGATCGTACGTTCGCTGTGAACTTCAGAAAGAGCCCCGCTATCACTCAGGACAGGGAAGATAACAAACTTGCGGCGAACAAATGGCCGTGTGACCTAGGCCTAACTCAAGTACGAGCCCGTCGGTTGTCGACAACTGAAAGCGGCAGTGTTTTGGAACTTCAGTTACAGGACGGCAAGTAAAAAAGCAGAAGTGAAGCTACGGGAGATGGCAATCTTTGCAATGGTAGAAGGGAAGTGCAATCTTCTCGCTAAACGCACGGATGTTGCGGGTTCTGGGGGAACCCCCCCCCCCCCTCCCGTCTGACGTGAACTGCGTGACAGGGTCGGCAGAGTGGAGTTCGCTGTGCGTTGGCAAACAACAGAAAATCAATCCGTTTACGATGAACGTGCTCGCCGCCCGCGCAATGAAGGCTACTGGCAACAGGTAGAGTGCTTGTAACGACGAGTGCGCACCGATGAACATATTGCGCCGCAGCCTCCACTCGAAAATGTGGCAATGTTATGTGAAAAAGAAACTAACACCTCGCTGCTCTTTTGAGAATAAACGTTCTTTTGTTTTACTAGCTGAGGGATCACCTGTAATTTTCGCTGCGAAAAAATTTTTTCCGCGCCCCGTCAGTTTCGTGGTAGTGGGGTTCGACTGTAGCTTTGTTGCGAAAAGCACCCTCATCATCTTCCTCGAAGCTGAAAAAGAGGCGCACGACAAGCATAGCCTTCATTACCTCCAAAGCTGTGGGTTGCATCGGCACCTCATCCTCGTCGTCCTCACCCATGTCGATGACGTGCACTTCTCCGTCAGTCACTTGCATGATGATATCGTCGTTGGTGATAGTGCTACAGTCAAAACACGCGATAACGAAGTTCCGAGGGAACGAAATTCTCACCGCAACGAAATATTTTCGGAGCACCGCCGAACGCCCATAGGAGTCAATGCACTTCGTAACTCACGACTACGAAAAATATTCATACCGCAGTCCCTCATTAACGAAATTTTTTATACACGAGTGCGCAAATAATCTACCCTCGCAACATTTACATTCGAAAACTGCTGGAATACATTTATTCTACACTTCAATTGTGCAAAACTATCGCTAAGCGCACTTGAGAAGCAGCTGCCATCATTGTTTACAAAAGAAACGTAAAGCTGGCGACAATGATGATGATGATGGTTTGCCGAAACACCTGCTCGTTATCGCGGACTACGTACGAGGCCAAATCAACATTCCCCATGGAGTTTCGTTCGTTGGCTTAGCTCTGTGCTTGGCTTTGTCGGCTTTATTCCACACACGGTTGCGTGTGTGGAGCCATTTGTGGAAAGTGTGCTTGGTCGCTTGGAGCAATGTGAGCCGTGGGTTGCGATTGCTTCATTTGATTTCGCTGCCTGCGAAGATGCCGCCCCCAACGAAAAAGCGGAAGTTGATCATGCTGGAAAATAAGGCTTATCGGCAAGGTCGAAAAGGGCAGAAAAAAGATAGACATCACCGAAGAATTCAACATTGCTTGCAGCTCGTCCACTGTTCTCAAGAACAAGGCCTCCATTCTTGGTGCATTTTAAAACGGCACGAGTGCAAGAAACAAAGCCGTGAAGGCTGCAGCGTTCCCGGCCGTGGACAAGGCGGTGTTCGTGTCGTTTTGTGAGCATTGTGCCAACAAGGTGTTATCTTATGCGCCTTCGATGCAATGGAGAGGGGCAGACTCTATTTATCTCTGTCTGCTACAGCAGCGCTCGTGCGCTTTTTCCCACTCGTGAAAATTACGACTCGCAGGGACGTGCTATCACTTTAGACTTGTTACAGAAAATGGCGACAACAGCAAACCCCCACCGAGAGTGTCCATATGGTCCTTATCACAATAATGCTGTTTTTAACTGCTAAATAAGTGTTTTGGGTTACCTCTGTCTTCAGCCTCCCATGTGTTTAATTTGTGCATTTGTTTTCCTAATTTTCGTACTGAACCTGCATATAATAAATTCCTCTTTATAACGAATTTTTTTTCAGGAATTTACCATTTTGGTTATATCCAGGTTTAACTGTATTATCAACAGCAGTGCCTTATTTAACAAGAAATTAAGCTAAATGTGCCACACGACGTGCGTAACGAGTGGGACATTTGTGAAATGATCCCAATGACGTGAGCGCGACCGACTACAATTGATCGCTAGTAATGAAACTAGCTGAAACAAGAAAAAGAACCTTCCATGCATGAAGAGACGCTATAAAATGCTGCTTGTCCATTTCTGTTTGACTTATAGAAACAAAGAGCCACCTGGCGTTTCTACAGAGAATGGCTCAAGTGGTTCAAAAAATTTCATTTTTTCCTGGTTAGATTGGATAGGTCGTGCCATCTAGTGGGAACCAAGCAAGCACAAAATTGTTCAATGGCTCCCTCCATTTTAGCTTTCCTGCTACCAGTCCAAGTAGTAAAGCTGGGCTATGTTGTGCATGGTGGCAGTTACATGAGACGGACCACTATAGCCAGTGCACTAATGCGATGCGGACCACTAAATTGTGATTTTACAGTCGAACACACTTATAACGATCCCAAGTGTAATGACCATGTTTTGGTGCACTTTCCTAATGCGACCCTTTGAAAATGAGTCCACATACAGCGAATATTTTTCAAAGCCTACTAATTTTACTACGAACACTTACCGACATGGTTGTGCAAAAGTATGGCACATATGAAGCGAAAAAAAAAAAAAAAACACTACAAAGCACGTGAAAGGCATGCGCTCGCATGTGCTCCGTTGCAGTTTACTTGCGACCGTATAGGTGCGTTGAGCACCGTACGCATATTTCAGAAGCTGCGAGCAGGGTCGCTCAATATCCAGGCATTTTTTGCCGGCAGAAGGGAAGTGAGGGCAAAAAAGAAATAGGAGGCAGCATAAAGACTGCAGTCGGCTTTCGCATGCCAAACTTTTCTGATGCCGTCCTAGACATGCCGCCGATTAACCAATGACGCTTTCTACAGTAATTCTACAGTAATTGCCAAACTTCTTAATTATTAGCTGAACACCGCAAGTATGATATGCTGAGTTGTAGAATGCCTGGCTCACTGGTTTCTAAAGTGGTTTCCTGTATGACATGTCTCGTGCAGTCCCCCTCCCACCACCTCTCTGCTTCTGCATTGTGAAGAAAGCTGGCTAAACGTGTGGGGAGAAAAACAAAAAACAAGATGGGCTGTTTGCAAACTGCTATCGTACCACTGTCAAATCGAGCATGCAATTGTTGAATGAGATCACTGGGCCTCCGGCTCTTGTTAAATGTCGGTGCGAATGCATGCTGTTAGCTGAGCACATTTGAGGCAGTTGAGTGCACATAAAATGCTGCTGAACCATTTCATGTTGCTCTGAATCTGGCCACTAAAAGTGGTACCGATGTAATGAGAAATACACCTGTATGATGTAAACCGAAGACAATGCAAGTGCATTAAGTAGCCCTAAATTGCTGTACTACACATGCGCTGTGTTTACCGGATGACCTTGTTTGTGCAGCCGTCGGAGATCAAGAAGAACTTGCGCAAGTTCAACGGGTTTCCGTTCGAGAAGGACTCCGCAGAGTATCTGAAGAGACAGAAGATGGTGGCGAAGTAAGTGCATTGGCTTTGACTGCACTAACTTCAGATTGCAATGCCTATTAATGCTTGATTATTTCCTGTAGACTGCAGTTATGCTGTTTGAAAAAAGCTGTGCTTATTCTTTACACACTCGGTCTCCCTCTTATCGTGGTCTTTCAATTAAAAGTGGACTTGTCGAGTACGCACTGCATTTGCATAACTTTGCTATAACCAAGAATTTCACATATCTTAGATCGTTTTGTTAAGACAGCATGTTCTAATCAAAAACCGAGTGTTTTATATATATGTATTGTGTGTGTGTGTGTGTGTGTGTGTGTGTGTGTGTGTGTGTGTGTGTGTGTGTGTGTGTCGAAAGGAAGCGTATACTTAAGGGGGCCCTGAAACACTTTTTTGAGTAACCATGGAATTAATTCACTGGAAAAGCGTATTACCTCAAAAATTGAAAGCCGCAAAAATTTTAAGAATCTGTCCAGTACAAGTGGAGTTACAAAGATTTGTCACACGCCGCAATCACATTCTCTCGTCCCGATGACAGCGCTGGAAGCTGAGCAGAAAGGGATGGTAGGGGCAAACAAAAAACGTCACTCACGCCTCGCCACTTTGAGCATTTTTTCTTTTTTTTTTCCTTTGAATACGTGGCTTTTTCAGTGCGATCACGCGTGCACGCATAGACAAGTGACGGCCTCTCGCGACGACCTCTGTAACAACCGAGCGTGCCATGTCCAAATCAGCCAATGGCTGATAGATGGGCTGACAGGGCTTATTTTCCGTGATTGGTCAAGAGAAGGGAAAGCTATTTTTAGATGACTGATAATTTATTGCGAATTCCAGACTGCGTGCTGTGCTATAATATTTGGCTCGCGTGTTGTCGGGAGCCTCTACTACCGATCGGCAGTGTTTTCTGACCATGCTCAAAAAGTGTTGCAGGGCCCGTAAACCACCCAGAGATTGAAAGTCGGTTGCTGTGGGAAAATTGTGCACGAGTGCATGTCGAACGCGAAGCTGTGAGAATTTTTCGAAACGGTGCAGTAATGGCGGAGTTGGATGCGTTTGATTATTGAAACCGGGGACAACCACACCTTTCGCTCTTCCCTGCGCTTCCCTCCGCTGGTATCCTTTCCCACGTCGCTTTACACTCTCATCGAGCGCCCCTCCCAATCTCGCGTGGCGTACGTCAGCGCTGACGCGCTGCTTGTAACAACGTGTATACTCCCGGTTGCCGCGACACCAGCCGTCGACTCTGTCAGTTGCGTGCTTGTTGGCGAACCGTGGCGTCCGTAATCGTGCCGGTATGGAACCTGCGTTCCGCGCATGCCTTCAAAGGATTCCCAATGCAATGAAGCCGTACGGGGACAGGCCGTGCCCCGCACATGTTCACGCACGCAAGCAACACGATGAACAACAACAAGCAGCGCGGACAGCTGCTTGCAGACTGACGGGGAGTCGTAGGCTTTTGCTCGGTAGCATATTTGGCATATTTGTCTCGACGCGCCAGAGATGTGGCACGGCACGTCACGGGGCCCGGAAGGGGGGGAGGGATTGTTTCTTGGAATTCATGGCGCGCCGGCGGCTCGTAGCGCTGCCACGTGCAGAATCGTTGATCGCGACAGTATTCTGCACACGATGCGCCCGTTTACTTGAAATGCTTGAAAAGATATTGGAGGTGTGGTCTACGGGCCCTTTAAGGGCTAGTTTTTCTGTGTTTGACACAATATTAGTGAGACCTAACAGACAATAATGCTAAAGAAACTATAGGGGAAGTTATTAGGCCTAATTGTTGTGCAAATGTGAAGAAAGAAAAGCGAACGAAACCATCACTTGCTGGTTGGCAGGAACCAAAACTGCGACCTTAAACAGGCTAATAAAGAGTGTTCCACACTTGCCGCCATGGCTGCTGGTGGCGCTGACACTCGCACGTTTAGTTCACATATATACCCAATAAAGTAAGTGAATGGGGGGATAGCCGCCGTGGTAGCCGAGTTGGTAAAGCATCGAACGCATTGCTCGAAGGTTGTTTGAAGGTCACAGTTTCGGTTCCTGCCCACGGCAAGTTACGTTTTCATCCACTTTTCTTTCTTCACATTTACATTATATATATGTGTGTTTTCTATTTTCTCGGTTCCAATTTTTCACAATGTGTCTTCCTATGCTCCACATTATTGTCCGCAGGTGTACCCGGCTTCATAATGTTTTGCAACTGTTGTGATTGAACAACGCTGGTGGATGGTGCAGCAGTTCACCTTCTCACAACTTGCTGAATTGTTCAGTGCGATTAGTAATGGTGTTTTTTTTTTTTGCCACTCAAGTACACTACACTCGACGACAACTTACCTCGACTCTGAAGTGAAGACTTGTGTGACTATGCCACTAGTATTGTGGTTGATTTCAGTTCCTACATCATTAACACATTTGGAATAACATACACGAATGATAGGAGGAACATTTTGATAGTTTAGTGTCGTGGTATATTTTTCTTGGGAGAACTAAACTGGACGCTTGCAGGCACTCACTGACTCACTACGTCATGGACGGCACATTTAATTTGGAAAATGTGTTTGCCGAAAGGGTGGTGCTGTCTAGGAAATGAAAAGGTGTTCTTGCAAAAGGAACAGCAACTAGTGTACACAGAGCTTCAGTCTTATGATAAATGAAGGAGGATCAATGGAAAGGAGGAGTAAACTTTAGTGTTATTTTTCTGGTGCTGTAGCAGGCATGTGCTTCAGTGCTATAGCTTTGCTGTGTCAAGAAAATCCATCACAGAATGTAATTGTGATCACGGTGTGCAGGCTCAAAAAGGCTGCTCAGAAGGACCTGCTGGGCATGCTTGACCTGGAGAAGAGTGGCACGGTCGAGGAGTGCACCGATCGCATCCTCAGCTTCCTGCTCAAGCCGTTTGACAACAAGAAGCCTCTTCCGGGTGCCAAGAAAGCAAAGAGTTGAGTCGAGGCTCACAGGGGCAAGAAAAGAAAAGCTAGTTTTTTCTTGTATGCAATATCAATAAGAAATAACAGGCAATGATGCCCAAGGAAGGTATAGGGGATGTTGTTAGTAGGAATCGTAATTTAAATGAGTATAAAGAAAGGTGGACGAAGACATAACTTGCCGTGGCCAGGGACAAAACTTTCGAGCTTTGAAGAATGCTATTGATGCTTTGCCAACCAAGGCTGTCATACTGTATCATAAATCAATGTTTTTCTCACGACAGCCCCTGTCCACTTAATAGGGCATATACAGTAAAACATCGTTAACTTGAACTTGTTAATTTTGAAATCCCACTTAATGTGAAGGATTTCCCCGGTCCCGCACTTTGCAATGTAAGTTTGAGTGGATAATTTTGAAGCGGTGGCCGGCACCAGTCCATCTAATTCGAAAACTTAGGGTGTCATTTGCCAGTTCCAGATACCGATTTCGCCGCAAGTATGCGGAAACAACGGCCATTAATTGCCACAAGGCAATGCAACATATTGATATTAATGAGTGGCAGCTGAAGCACCTTAGTCTCGCTACTTCCAGCACGAACAGAAACAATAAAAGACGGTCTTGTAGTCAACCGAAATGTGTGCCTGCGGAAAATCAGCTATGCTTCACTGCAACACAGTGGTGACACGTGAGCAGCTTATCGCATATTTCTTGCAACATCAGCGGGTCATGGTTTACCTATTCTTTCTGGGATTGTAAAGGAATTAATAAAGAATAGCTTTGCGGAAATCGCGAATATGCGAACCTTCGATTGCCGGTAGCTCCAGTAATTTGCGTTTTTGCACTGCTGGTGAATTTCTTGGCAGCAACATTTACTTCGAAAACTAAGTTTGAAAGATTCAAAGATAACTTTTTCCACCCAAAACACATCGTGAGCTTCGTCATACTGGCCATTAATCATAATTATAATAGAATGTGCCAATGCTCTCATCATGACGTGCTGACGCAGAAAGGAGCAGGCGACATGCTCCCCGCGTGCCACCACTGTGTTGCAGTGAAAATGTCTTGTTTTCCGTAGGTGCACATTTTAATCACGATCGCGTTTTTTTGTTTTTTTTTTCCGGTGGCAGCAACGAGGTCTACCAATCCTCCATGTTTGCAGCAAAAATAAAGACCAGGTATTGCTGGAAAACATAACCTTTGGAGCCGCAAGTAAGCCGGCACAGCAAACGACGAGCATCGATTACTTTGATTAGTTCCAAAACCCACTTAATTCGAAGCTTTCTCGCGGCCCCAGTGACTTCGAATTTACGAGGTTTTACTGTATGTGCATCTAAATTTGGTCATGTCGGTCAGCACTGCTTGTTGCCATGATGACGAGTATGGAACACACTTTTTCTTCCTAGCACGTAGTGCGCTACATGACAGGCAGAAATAGTAGTGTAGTGGGTGCGGTCCTACTTCACAAAAATTGATTTATTCGCGGCGAGATTGGGCTATAGGCGGCAGCACCGTCCCGCGCAAGTGTGGATAGGCGGTCGGCAGCGCGTATACAGATACAGGCAGCGGCGCTTCGTTGCGTGCTGTCTGAGCCGATTATCCGTGAATAAAATGCGTCGACTACAGTTGACTGTTAATATCTACGCTCTTCTCTTCTGAATCGGTGCATGATGCCTATGCAACGTTAACATTACCCACGAGTAAAGCGCTGTCTTTCATAGGGATGCTTGCCCTGGGCGACTCTCTTCATGCTTTCGCACTAAATCACGCCTTTGCTGTGTTGTTTGTACGTGCTTGGCTTGTGTTCCGCCTGCCACGCACTGCTGTAGGGTGACTGAACTACTTATTTAAATCTTTGTCATCTGCGTACTAAAATAAAAAATAGAGAGAAAGAATGATTGTAAAAATCTTGCATATCTCTGCTATTAGTTCAGTACCACCGTTCACATATGAGGTTTTTTTTTTTTCCTCTCATTCTGTTCACCATGAAATGTGGGACAGTCGATGAGTCTAGTCAGGAAAGCTGTAGTGTATACGTATCCCGAAGGAGTATGGCCACTGGCGTGGGTGCGGTCTTAGCGAGCCGGAGGACACGATACTGCTCAAGGTCGCAACACTTTATTGTCTGTGGCAACACCAAAACACAGTACAGCCCGTTACAAAGGCGTGGCGGGAAAGTAAATGGGCGAGCAGCACTACACAGGGCTGCCGTGAGTACGTCTCCGCTGTAAAAGTGATTCACGGAGAAACCGGGACTAAGATCCGGTTGCTCTAGTGAGGGCAAAGACGCTCGCGTTGGCTTCGGAAAGATATAGATAGGCGCAGTTTGACAATGCACTAGGACACCATACCGCTCTTCGGCCTAGCGTACGCAAAGGGGCATCAAAAAGGTGAGCGTTTGCCTCAAGCGAGAGGCGCTGGTGGCGAAGTCTGACGTGCCCCAAACAATGTGAGTTGATGGACAGAGAAGAGAATGCGTGCTCACCCTCAGCTGTCCCGAAGAAATCTGACTCGCTCCCGAAGCGCGCGAGCGCGAAACGTCCTCGAGAGACCTCGCACGCGGCGCCACAGTCGACATCTGCTACCGGGTGAGAAAGGTTGAGCGTCACTCCTTGCTCTCCCAGCGAGGCAGACAGTGGATGAGGGGAGTCATGTCGGGACATGAGAACAGCAGAAATACGTGGAAAAGCCCGCACAAAGGCGGCGGGCTAGCCTCTATTCCCACAAAGCTTAGTGGCTGATGGCGCATTGCGTTACACTACGTTTACCAGGTGTGCGCACAAGTTCTTGTACCAGTAAATATCTTATATAAGAGTTCAGCAGAAAGCTTTCATCGATTCATTGCTTGCGTGGTGGGGCTACAAAAAAGGCCTGGTTAAAACAGAGTTATTGTGCCCAACCGTCTTCTTAGATTTAAGAACGCTTTAAAGAGCCCAGACGGTGAAAATTAATTCAGACGGCATGTATTATATATAATTTCGTATGATTTTACTGAAAATTTCATCTTTTTTACATTGTATTCAGCGTTTGTGTGGCATTGTTAGTGACCGACGAAAGGCAGTGATTATTTTTTGTCTGTAAAAAAAAATGAACATGGTTGTCTTTATAAGGGAGGATGCGGCACTTAATGTTTATTTATGTATAGATTTGAACGAGATCTTCAGAATCTGTGTATTTATATGTGCAGATTCTAAATGTGTGATTACTTTTTGTATGGGTCAAGTAGTTTCCAAGATACTTCCAAATCAATGTAAAACCTGCGTCCTTTGATTGCAGCCTAATAGCATCTAAGCAGGAAGCACCAAAACATTGGCGACGGCGTAGAAACAATGTAGGATGTTTAAGGAGTGCAATATGCTATAAATCAATTTGCTGGGGGCCGATTTAAAGGAGCGGAGAGACATTTAACCACCTCACTCGGTAGCGGATGTTGACTGTGGCGCCGCGCACGGAGTCTCCCAGGAGGTTTTGCGCGCATGCGTCGGGAGCGGGCAGATACTCTCCGGGACAGCTGACGGTGAGCCACGCAATTTTTTCCATCCGTCGCTCGGGGCTTGTCAGACTTCGCTGACTGCGCTTCGCCCCCGAGGCGAACGCTCACTTTTTGTTGCCCCACTGCGTATGCACGGCCGAAGGGTAGTGCGTGGCCTAGCTACGCCGACCCGTCTCCCTCCGAAGCCAACGCGAGCGCCTTTGCCCTTGCTCGAGCAACCGGACCTTGGTCCTGGTGTCCCCGTAGATCACCTTTACCGCGGAGACGTGCTCGTGGCACCCTGTGTAGTACTTTCATGCCCGTGGCGTGGATAAGCCTATTTGATTTCCCGCCGCGTCTTTGCAACGGGCTGTACTGCGTTTGGTGTTGCCACAGACAATAAAGTGTTGCGACCTTGAACAGTACTGTGTTCTCGCCATGGCGATGGTTAACGCGTGCCCTTCGGCTCACTAAGACCGGACTCCCGCTAGTGGCCACACTTCTTCGGGACACGTGTCACTACAAGGCTCAGTGCCGCTCTAAAAAGCGAAGCACTTTTTGCGCAGTCTGTTTGCGTTGAGAGTACAAAGTAGAAGGGTATAATAGCCGTAAATAGCTTGTGCACCAGCAATCACAACCTTAATGTCAAAGATTATAACAACGCCCCTCCCTCCCCCTCGCGAATCTTGCTCCTTCTTGTTCTTTCGTAACGGGCGGCGCATTCCTTTCTGCTTGAGTAACAATCGATGGGAGGTCTGGCACACGGTGCGATGTCATCACATCCGCCCTCAGTGCGAAGGAATTAAGTCAACTCTTCTTATCTCTGCTTTAGCTGTGTTTGTCGCCCTCGCTGGCGCCGCTTTTACCCGCGTGTAAAATACAATGCGGCGGGGGATGTTATCGATTGGGACATTACACAAAACATGATGGCCAGTGGCGTACCCAGGGGGGAGGTGGGGGAGGCACATCAGGAATGTGCCCCCGCCTCCATCTCAGATTTTTTTTTTTTTTGCCATGGCACATATTCGCAACTCAAGTGAACATGAGAGGGTGCTACGAAGTTGCAACATGGCGGATTCACGGAGTTCACCGCGTGTTCTGTTGCTAACACAAATATTGAGTTTTCTGCAGTGTAATAAAAGTTCGCGCTGCTTTGTAGAAAGGGAGCTCGTTGTTGACGGGGAGAATCTTATTCTAGTCGGCACTAGTGGCCCCGCGAACGCGAGCGAGGTTCTTGAAGTGGTCCCGTTGTTTGTGTAATGCACACGGCGCACCGCATCTCTGCGAAATTCGTTTACATACTTCGGGCGCCACAGCTTCATGTAGTCAGTGGATACAATGGTCATTTAATAGGTTCAAGTTAACAAGTTAACACTGGTGCCTCACCTGGAAAGAAGTAATCTGCTTGACCATTAGTTTTTTCTTCACGGGCGGCATCATGCTACCGTGCTCCTGCCGTATACGTCTGGTGCTTGGACTGTTTGGGCCTCAGTATGTAGCTTCTTTATATTGCCGCTAGGTGCCGCATGAATTGCTGGAGTCAC